AAAAATATTTACATCACCGCAAATAATTGTTCTTTTTTGTCAATTAGCACAGGCAGAATAATTAAATACAGAAAAAATGGCTATGAAAACTTAAAAAAAAGATAATCCGAGCTGTTGAAGAAGATTTTTGTGTCTTTCTTCAATTCCTGCCAGTATATCAGCGTTGTTTTCAACGAAACAGGCTGAGATTTTGTATTGAGAATTGTAAATATATTTAAACTAAAAGGTTATTATATTTTATTACATATGATTTTTGTCAGATATTTTTTGTGTTGTGCCATGGGGTTATTTTCTAATGAAAAATATGTGCTGTGGCACAAAAACAGTTGGGGAACACTAACAAAGTTTATATGAAATATTAATATGCATATATGACTTTGCACTTATACCTCACTCTAATACAGTGGTTCTAAAACCATTTTTGGTCAGTCCCCACTTTGAACAAGATCTTCTCATTAGATGAGATAAATAAATGTTCAAATGAATTTCTGGCATAGATTAAATGTTGACTTTATATTTACATATGTATTTGCCGTCAGTCAAAGATCTGAATCTAATTTTCCACTGGCTTCACATCTTTGATCGTCAGCCACTTCAAAAGGCGACCAATGAAAAGACACTCCTTCATGGAGAATGGTCCGACCCCCGAAATCCCCCTTCGAAGAGAACATCAGAATTCACATTCACAGACATTAAAATTCCTTAAGATGGCGAAGAAAACAGTCGTTTCTGATTATTATGCATCAGTTTACATCCATCATAATCCCCACCATTTCTGAGGCACATGTTTTGCCTGAGTGGAAACTGTCCGATGCCTCCATTAACTAGTGTGGGTTTGGCTGCACAGCATTCTCATAATGATGGAGCCAGAATAGACTGCGGTTGGTCAAAACACACACACACACACAGACACATGGTTGGTCAAAACACACACACACAGACGGACAAATGATTTGAACACAATTAAAGAAAACAGTATTACAGTACAATTTCACAATTTAAAGTATTTTGAAATTACTGCAAAGCTGTCTTTATAGACCAGTGGTTCATTTACTGGCTGTATTTACTGAGTGCACAGACCACCACTGCCCCTGTTAGAACACCACCACCACCACCACCACCACCTCCACCATCACCGTGTTTGTTATTGTCTGAGAAACTGACATCGGCCTGGATATTAACTCTGCATGAACTCAGCACTGCCATCTAGTGGAAGTATTGCTTTGCAACCAGGTCAAACCTAAGACACATGGATGTATCTGTCACTCAGTGAATGAGGTCATACATCTATATATATATATATATATATATATGTGGAAGCATTTGTATGTGTCTAATATGCCAACTTTAACACAATGCCCCCTTAATGTAAGTAATTCTGCTGTGGCCCCTCTGTCCTACAGTTATTTTTACCCTGGGGGGGGTTCTGCTGTCCCATGAGCCAGAGAATGACAGACCAATGGAGACAAATAGTGTAATGAGGCAGAGGCGAGGAATGTGAGTGTGTGAGGTGACTAAGCTGCAGGATCAGGGGATGGAAGATTAAGCTGAAGTTCTTCCTTAAGACTCTAAAGTTCAAACGTTGGCGCCCCAGCAGTTGTTCTGTAGCGTCTTTGTATGTGTGTGTGTGTGTGTGTGTGTGTGTGTCACCATACCTTTCCTACGGTGTTGGTGCACTTGGCCTTTAGTGACAGCAATCCGTATGACCGGCTCGGCACGCGACACAAAGTTCGGATGAGGAAAGCCGTCATGGCTGCCAGAGCGGCAGAACCTCAGATGTAGAAAGAGACAAAGGAGAAGATGATGAGGATGATGATGATGAAGAACAACAACAAGGGAAGCGATAGAGAGAGGTGTAAAGAAGAGAAAGTAGAAAAAAGATGGAGGGCAGCATAAACGACGAGCGACGGTTTGAACTGTTGTGCCGCAGCTTGGGTGTTGACGTGTCACTGTGACCCTTTAAATGAGGAATTTTATAATACAGTATATAAAGTAATCAAACATACAGACATACTGCACATACATCTCCCTCTGTGCGTGGGTTTTCTTTGAAGCCTTTAGTTTCCCTCCCACAATCAGAAAATCATTTTGAATTCACCGCAGGTAAAATGATGAGTGGTTGTTGTTTCTCTGCAGCTCTGCAGTGGCCCGCTGCGCTCTGGTCCAGGGAGTGCTTTGCTCTGGTGTAATGACTACTGTGATAGGCTGAGGACCCAATGTGACCCTGAACAGGATTAGGCATTAGACGTTGATAATCATATATTGATTTATATAGTAAACTAGTCATCTTCATGTACATGAGATTAGCTTTGACCTTTCACACCTTCAGCGGGGGGGAAGCCAATTTTTTTTTTTTTTTTTTTTTTTGCTGTCCTCTTAGAAAAAGATGAGTTTCAAAGGACAAAATAAAATCAAGTTTCCTGCAGAAGCGAATGTCTGCACGTCGCCAGCTGCCACATAATCTTCTTTGTGGTGGCTCTCCAGATACATTTGTAAAGCAGAGGATTATGCTAAGCAGGAGGCAGCCATTAGAGAAGTCAAACTATCAGAGTCAGTCAAATAAAGCCAGGACATGGGTGATGAGTCCAGAATAAACACTCCATGGTGTTTTGTTTTATTTATTTATTTATTTATTAAGTGGGAGTTAGACGAAGTGTAGGTTATTTAATGGCCATAAGTGTGTGTATGTGTGGTACACGGTTTAAAAAAAATATATATGTTGAGCTTAAAATCAACAGCGAAGAGAGAATCATTGCAGAATTGAAGGAGCAAAACATGGGAATGAAAGAAGGCAGAGGAATGGACCTGAACAGAGAAGCTCATTAGCAGAAATATCAGCCAGATATAAAGACGCTAGATGTGATCATTAACAGCAAAGGGATCAGACATCGCTGTATGCCACTGTTTATCCTCCCACATCTCCACCAACACGCTTTGTGTGTGTGTGAAAAAAAAAAAGCAACCCAGAAAAAGTGTTTCAGTGAAGGGAGCAGAGGATGAAAGCTCCTCCCCTGCCTCCCCCACGCTCTTGCCGCTGTCACTTTTATCTTTTATGCCTTGTCTTCGTCTCACCCCCCACTGCTTGCACATCTCTTCACCATGCAACACAACCATTTGGGCCAAAACTTTGTTCTAAAAATCATTTTCCAGTTGAACTTTTAAGTCTGTTAAAACCCCAGGACGTGATGTTCCAAATGGTGCAGTACTGAAACTCCTGGTGGAAGGAGTAGTATTTCTACGAGAATCTGGCGATACGATACATATCGTGATACAGAGGCAACAATACGATATATTGTGATATATTGCAATATATTGCGATACCAAAAGCACAACAATATATTGATTTTTTTTTTTACGACTTTAATGTAGGAGAACTGCTGGCATAGTAAACACACAATGCTGTTAGGGGCTTAACATCAGGTTACTGAAATTGGGACGGAGGGATCTGAATTTGTAATCGCTAGAGAAGAACGCCATAAGCATTTGCATATTTATTTTTAATTTAAAAACAATCGATACAGTACTATAGAATGTTGATACTGTATCGCAAAATTATATATATATATATATATATATAGAGAGAGAGAGAGAGAGAGAGAGAAAGAGAGAGAGAGAGAGAGAGAGCTTGGAGACTCAGTTACTAAAATCTTCATCTGTACCTCGTGAGTGAAAGTTCGAGTTTGGTTCACATTACGTGACAGGGATGAACGTGTGTTGTTATTTTAATCATTCATTGTATTCATTGTTTAATTTCCTTATGAATAAACAAGAAAAACGTTGTCATCAACACTGAGATGCGCCACTCTTTCAAACCAACTCTTTTCAAATATGTTTTGAGGGTGGAGACAAACAGGAGTGTTCGCACACTGTTAGCAGCGGGGCGATAACTTAAACACAGCCTATGTGTTGGAGTCCTGCTGTGTGCCTTTCACAAAGATATACAAGAGACATGGCTCACGGGAGGAAGATTATTTTCTTACCACACTGGCTGTTTTGTTTCTGCGTCTGAGCAAAACATACACATAATTCCAGAGAAAATAAGGGCAGGTGGAAGTTAATTCGAATTTCACTATCGATATTTCCTCTTCATTTAATTTTTTTTTTTTTCTCTTTGCTAAAAGACTGAAAGTGGTGCATGGTGTTCCATTACTGTAGATGAATGAGCCCCTCCCTCCAGCTCGCTCTCATTACCTTTTCATTTAGTGATTTCTTCTTTAAGGCCAAGTCTTTTCATTTTCTCCTAAGCCAATCGTATGCCTGTTTGAAAAGCACACTATAGAACAAAAGACATTGTTGTGGATTGGTCAATAGTTCTACGTCATAGTAAAAATTAAATACTGCTGCAAATAGTAGGAAAATTCTGCAGAACTGCAGGTGCAGTAGCTGGAGCTTGAGAGAGAGAGAGAAAGAGAGAGAGAGAGAGAGAGAGAGATAGGCACACTTGCTTTTGAATGGTAAAGCTGTGTTGCCATGGCAATGCTGACCTCTAGGAGTCCATTTTTACATGCCAAATCTTGAGCACACACCTCACTGTAGCTTTTTTCTCTTTGTCTTAATGTCTTTACAACACTTTTTTCTCTTTCGTTTTTCTCTGCACATCAGAAATAACAAACAAACACACACCTTTTTTGTAAGCAGAAAAGATCATAATGTTATCCCTCTCACCATAACAATTAAAAATACACAACTAAATCTATTCCTAACCCAAACTCTCATCTGACTCTAATTCTAATCCCAACTCAAAACTCAATCTTAATCCTCAAAAATCCTCAAAAAAAAAAAAACCAAAACAACCTCAAATCCTCCAACTCCCGCTGTCATCTATGAATATTTCTACTTTGACTCTCTCTCACTTATATTTGGATTTTCGAGCGGTTTGGAATGTAGCTGCTGCCTAATCTTTAATTCACCACAGCTCCAACACTTTTGTTGTAATAATGAGGAAAAAAAATCTCACAAAGCTTTTTATCCTCCCTCCCCCTCCCTCCTTTTCTCTTCAGGCCAAGCTGATAGTTCCCAACAGCACAGCAGGGTTGATCATTGGTAAAGGTGGAGCCACAGTCAAGGCAGTGATGGAGCAGTCAGGCGCGTGGGTGCAGCTGTCCCAAAAGCCAGAGGGAATCAACCTGCAGGAACGTGTGGTCACCATCAGCGGAGAGCCAGAGCAGAACCGCAAAGCTGTGGAAATCATTGTCCAGAAGATTCAAGAAGACCCCCAGAGCTCCTCCTGTCTCAATATCTCCTACTCCAACATCACAGGGCCCGTCGCCAACTCCAACCCTACCGGCTCTCCATACGCCAACTCCACTGAGGTCATGCCAGCGGCCGCAGCTGCCGCAGCAGCTACTGCCTCCTCGCTGCTCGGTCAGGCCGGTCTTGCAGGAGTGGGAGCCTTCCCAGCTACAATGTCCAGCCTCTCAGGCAACGACCTGCTGGCTATCACGTCCGCCCTCAATACTCTGGCCAGCTACGGCTACAACACCAATTCCCTGGGCCTCGGGCTTAACCCTGCCGCGGCTTCAGGGGTGTTAGCTGCCGTAGCAGCTAATGCTAATCCAGCAGCAGCTGCTGCAGCCAATTTGTTAGCATCCTACGCCAGCGATGCATCCACAAGCGCCGCTCACCCAGCAGCCGGTCTCGGAGGCTTCTCCCTAGGATCCCTGGCTGCAGCCACAGGAGCCACTAATGGTTACTTAAGCGCCGCTTCACCGCTGGTGGCATCGTCTCTGCTGGCCACGGAGAAGCTCGCAGAAGGAGCAAAGGAAATCGTAGAGATCGCTGTGCCAGAAAACCTGGTGGGGGCAATCTTGGGAAAAGGAGGGAAAACACTAGTGGAGTACCAGGAGCTGACTGGAGCCAGGATCCAGATCTCCAAGAAGGGCGAGTTCATCCCGGGAACTCGGAACAGGAAGGTCACCATCACAGGTTCCCAGGCTGCCACGCAGGCAGCACAGTATCTGATCAGTCAGAGGATCACCTACGAGCAGGGGGTACGGGCCACCAACCCACAGAAGGTGGGCTAAACCTCAAAACCAATGAGAAACAAGGAGGAAAAGAGGAAAAAATGAGTGGGGGCTTGGGGGAGGAGTATAAAAAAGAGAGTGAGAATGGAAAAAAGGAGAGGAGAGCAAGAAAGAAAGTCCATGACATTATCTTCTGCGTGTTTTCAGTATTCTTTATTAAAAAAAAAAAGTTTTTGACACAAAGTAAGAGTGTGCTGAGAAGACGAGGAGGGAGGGGAGTGAGTTATCACACTGAACAACCAAGAAAAAATGTGTAAAATGTAAATAAGGTTTTATTACTTAAAGTCTTGATGTTTTGGGGATTTTTATTGTTTTGTTGTTTCCTTTTCTGTTTTGTTTTTCCGTAAATTAAGCTGTCTTTTCGTTTGTTTGTGTATTTGTGGACAAAGCTGAATGCCATGTAGACGGGCTGCCTGCCTGACAGGCTGCAGGAAGCATGAGGCAGGAGGGAAGGGCAGAGGCATGGAGAGGGGTCAGGAAGAAGGGTTGGCATAAAAGGGTACGACCCTCGATCCAACTCCCCCTGTGAAACAGCTCATTCCCTTCCCTCCCCCTGCAGCCTACGTCGATCACCTTGCATAGAGTTTTTTTTTCCGTTTTTTTTTCTAGTCCTGACTCCCTATGCCCCACACGCCCTCTTGCCCCGTCACTATTTGCCCCTTTGCCCCCACTCCCAACTGCCCTAGGGGGCTTTACAAGTAAGACTATAATCTTAGCTAAGATGTGAGAAAGGAAACATCCTCTGATTGTCTCCCCTAACTTTAATCTCACTCACCTCCTTCTCTCCCCCCTTCTTGAATAGTATGGGAGGCAGAGATTAAATTTGGGGAGGTAAAAAGAAATCGTGGGTGTTTCTTGGTGTATGCAGACCAACTCTGTATATCCTGTGATGTACCACGCGAGCAGTGCAGCACAGCAGGGGTGTGACCACACGTGGCCCCTTTTATATTTGAAACGTCCAGCCACACGCTGATGACCTCACGTAGAGCAAAACATAGAATAGTGATACTGTGCAAAGCGCAATACACAGGATCCACGACATTGACACTGTCATCAAAGATGATTACAGTAGGTATTATCTCCATCATCATTATTTATTAAGGTGTCGGCCCATTTGAAGCCTAGCTGTTTTTAAATCTGTGAATTCAGGTTGACATGAATGTAAATGAGACTATTTTTGATTTGTTTTAATTTAAATGGATTGCAGATGAATAGCAATGTCACATAGTGTAATATATGTCTTATTTAAGTCCAGCGAGGAAGCCGCCCCCAGGCATTAAGATCAATAAGAATCACTTTATATATCCAGGAACAGAGCAGAAGAAGGGCAACATCCACACATCCACACACACTGAAAACACTATGATGCCATATTTGGTGCTAAGACAAAAGGGATTTGACCATATCTTTTGATGCAGACTGCAGTGAGACCTGACGATAAACACTAAGTATCTGTAAACCACTCACATCCACAGGCTGCAGTGCAGCATTTAGCAGCTAAAATAACCTCTAATGCCTCATCCTGGTATGCTCGGCTCTCCTCCTGCCCCCAGAATATCCTCGGTGTGTTTTGCCTGTAGTCAGATGCCAGTCATGCCAGTTTCCCACTACGTAAAAGTGTAACTGAAATGAATAATTGAGTTGACCTGAGACCAATTCTCAGATGAATTGCTGCTGCTTAGCCTGTGGTATTTTAAACCCTCTACGAACGAACCTGAACCACAGACGAGGTTTAGCGAGAGCACTTAAAGACTCACGACGTACTACTGAGAAATGCAAACAGGATGTAAGAGAAAACACTGAAATGCGATGAGGAAGCAGCTTTTGTCAAGATACGCTGCCAATTCCATAGGCCTCACTTGGAGATTTGCTTTCTAGAGGCAACATGGAGAAAGAAAATGAGGAGATAAATTACCTAAGTGATGTTTGCCCCTATGAAGCAACCATTCAATAAAAGATGAGGTAAAAGGCAGAGAGAGTTTCTGTAAACATTAAACTAGATGAGCTTGTTTCTGCCTCTGGCAAACTGCAGGTTTTCTACAGCAGCAGATATTCTGGCCACTAGACCCAGGAGGTTGCTGAAGATGCTGTTGTTGTTTTTTTTTCGTTGTTGTTCATTTTTGTTTATGTATTATTTTTATTTTTTTTTACAATCTGAGTACACTGAATTTTTTTTGTCTTAATGCACTGTGAAGCGGGGGAGTGATTCTCTCGGCCTATGAGGTCAGGGATGTGTGTTACTGTAGACAGCATCATGATTGAATGGCTTTTGTATGGCAGGGATATAAAAAAAAACACATATATGAAATATATGTAGAATGCATATGAAGAACTTCACCAGAAATGCACATCATATCAGTAAAAGTGAGAGAGCCAATAGAGACTAGGTCGATTAAGGAGATCAATCAATGGAGGTCAGGAGTTGAGGTCAATTCGATTCTTTTCACTTCGCAGACAGACACATTTCTGTGTGGGAGCGACATGGGTGCGAAACGGACTGAAAACTGAAATCCACAATGGGTTTTTGCACAGTTTCTGTGTGCAACCAATTCGTATGCGGGTTAAGGGCAACTGGTAAAGAATATTTTCCCATCATATGCCCCTCCCCGTACGCCACCCAGTGCCCACTAGTATCCATGTAGCCCAAGTAACACATGTGGACCCTACACAGATGCTGCTGGTATTTGGTAGTCAGAGGGCTGCATGTTTGGGTGTCCAGCAGAAAATTAAATGAACTTCAAATAGTAACACCTTTTCTCTATAAAGTAAAAAAACCCTGCACATTGATTAAGTAAATATCTGGACAGAAACTCAGCATGGGTCAAAGTATGAAGGAATGTGAAACCAAATATAAGGTGGGGTGCATTTGAGTTAATGCCCTAAAGCGTCTGGGGGCTTCAAAAATCGAAAAATTGTAAAAGAAAAAAAAAAGACTTCTTGATTATTTTGAAACCAACCCAAATTCAAAATCCTCCACTGTGCTTTCCAATGTGGCTCTCTGTCGAAGCGCCAGTGAGGGTTTATCTCCATCGCTTGGTAAGGAGGCTTCTTTACTCCCATCTAACACCATTCACACTCTCCTCACCCTTCCTCACAGCCGTCCTCAGTCCTCTAATGCACTCCCATCCTGACACACCCTCTCCTCAAACCACATTGCTCCATGGGTGACTATGTCTGGTGTTTACGATCACTGCATGTCTACTGCTTGGCCCTGACAAACACCACAGATTCAGTGTCTGTGCCTCCTCAGGCAGCTGAGGCTCAGAAACTTCACCACACCGAGGACGTTATCGTAGCTGAGGCTCGCAGGTCGTAGTGCACAAACACTCCGACAACGTGTGTCGTTTGGACATTTGTTTCACTGTCGGCCACTGAAGTGGTGTTGGTTTATTGACATAGAGGGCTCATACACGTACAGCGTGATGAGGAAGTTTGTCATGAGTGACTTTTTTTAGAGGTTGATTTAAATATTCCACTCTAGGTGTGTGCAGTACTGTGATGCATTCAAATGAATTGTTCTGTCAACAGTCAACAAACCTAGAACAGGACACGCCAACGCTGGGGAAACTACATATTTCAAAATGTATTTTTTTTGCACAAAAATTGACAATGGGGCAAAAATGCAAAGTGCAGTTTTAAATACAGGTGCCATTTGATTTTTATTCTACAAAAGCAGAATTCTTTTTCGTCATCGTAGTAGTAGTTATGTGGAACCATACTTTGTCCTTGGTTTGTGTTCTACGCAGCGGCCAACCTCTTCAGATTTCTGTGCGTCAGGCGATAAAAATGTGACGATTACTGGAAGCAATACACGTAGTAGCATGTTGTCTTTTATCTGACGTCTGCAGCTGGAGCTTTGGATTTACCTGTAGATATTAAATAGTGTTTACACAAGTAAGAAGATTTTTTTTTGATTTGTGGAATATGCTGCTATTTAATAACTGATGTACTAAAAAAACCATATAAGGATAAAACATATCGAAAGCCGTCCTTTAGTTGGAGAGGCTAGTCTCACCTGGCAGTGTGATACATGCTCTGTTACAGGCTTATGATTAGTTATCGACAGTATCATTTTGACCTGAAGTTTAACCTGTGCCAAAATAGGTCGTTACAGTTTGCAACTTGTAAATGTGCTGATTTAAATCACCTTAGATAAGAGGAGAAATACTTTTATATTAAAATAAAATGTGAAAAGTGCCAAATGAACCATATTTATAATTCATTTAGAAGGGGATTAGTCTCAGTGACCATTTTTAAGGACTACGTAGACTAACAAGGCAACACAGTTTCTTTACGCCCTCTCTGTTCCTGCCACAAGGTGACAGAACCACTATGTTCTGCCAAGTGTTACTCAATTCTCTGGGAACTACCTTTCCCAGAATGCAACTGCACTCTGACTCTGAGGCTAAGTTAATCAAAACTATCGATGGGCTAGCATAACGATGCTTAGGTTTCAGTGTGACTAGATAGCATTCTCGACTAAAGCCTTTTATAGTAATGATAAAAATGTATTTTGTGGAAGTAGATGTTATCTTTTTTGCACGTCTTTATTGCATGATATCAAAGTGAAGCATGGACAAAAAAATCCAGGAAAAATCAAAGTAACAAAAAAAGGAAAACATGGGCAGCGTGGTTTTTTTTTTCTTTTTTAAGTTTTAACAAAAAAAAAAAAAAAAAAAGCATGCCAGTGGCCTATTTTGAAGTTGTTTTACATGCCTTCAGAAGCTAGCTCTTTTCTCATTACAGTTATGTTAGGGCCTGGTCCTGGTCCTGGTCCTGGCCTTGGTCCTGGTCCTGGCCTTGGTCCTGGTCCTGGCCTTGGTCCTGGTCCTGGCCTTGGTCCTGGTCCTGGCCTTGGTCCTGGTCCTGGCCTTGGTCCTGGTCCTGGCCTTGGTCCTGGTCCTGGCCTTGGTCCTGGTCCTGGCCTTGGTCCTGGTCCTGGCCTTGGTCCTGGTCCTGGCCTTGGTCCTGGTCCTGGCCTTGGTCCTGGTCCTGGCCTTGGTCCTGGTCCTGGCCTTGGTCCTGGTCCTGGCCTTGGTCCTGGTCCTGGCCTTGGTCCTGGTCCTGGCCTTGGTCCTGGTCCTGGCCTTGGTCCTGGTCCTGGCCTTGGTCCTGGTCCTGGCCTTGGTCCTGGTCCTGGCCTTGGTCCTGGTCCTGGCCTTGGTCCTGGTCCTGGCCTTGGTCCTGGTCCTGGCCTTGGTCCTGGTCCTGGCCTTGGTCCTGGTCCTGGCCTTGGTCCTGGTCCTGGCCTTGGTCCTGGTCCTGGCCTTGGTCCTGGTCCTGGCCTTGGTCCTGGTCCTGGCCTTGGTCCTGGTCCTGGCCTTGGTCCTGGTCCTGGCCTTGGTCCTGGTCCTGGCCTTGGTCCTGGTCCTGGCCTTGGTCCTGGTCCTGGCCTTGGTCCTGGTCCTGGCCTTGGTCCTGGTCCTGGCCTTGGTCCTGGTCCTGGCCTTGGTCCTGGTCCTGGCCTTGGTCCTGGTCCTGGCCTTGGTCCTGGTCCTGGCCTTGGTCCTGGTCCTGGCCTTGGTCCTGGTCCTGGCCTTGGTCCTGGTCCTGGCCTTGGTCCTGGTCCTGGCCTTGGTCCTGGTCCTGGCCTTGGTCCTGGTCCTGGCCTTGGTCCTGGTCCTGGCCTTGGTCCTGGTCCTGGCCTTGGTCCTGGTCCTGGCCTTGGTCCTGGTCCTGGCCTTGGTCCTGGTCCTGGCCTTGGTCCTGGTCCTGGCCTTGGTCCTGGTCCTGGCCTTGGTCCTGGTCCTGGCCTTGGTCCTGGTCCTGGCCTTGGTCCTGGTCCTGGCCTTGGTCCTGGTCCTGGCCTTGGTCCTGGTCCTGGCCTTGGTCCTGGTCCTGGCCTTGGTCCTGGTCCTGGCCTTGGTCCTGGTCCTGGCCTTGGTCCTGGTCCTGGCCTTGGTCCTGGTCCTGGCCTTGGTCCTGGTCCTGGCCTTGGTCCTGGTCCTGGCCTTGGTCCTGGTCCTGGCCTTGGTCCTGGTCCTGGCCTTGGTCCTGGTCCTGGCCTTGGTCCTGGTCCTGGCCTTGGTCCTGGTCCTGGCCTTGGTCCTGGTCCTGGCCTTGGTCCTGGTCCTGGCCTTGGTCCTGGTCCTGGCCTTGGTCCTGGTCCTGGCCTTGGTCCTGGTCCTGGCCTTGGTCCTGGTCCTGGCCTTGGTCCTGGTCCTGGCCTTGGTCCTGGTCCTGGCCTTGGTCCTGGTCCTGGCCTTGGTCCTGGTCCTGGCCTTGGTCCTGGTCCTGGCCTTGGTCCTGGTCCTGGCCTTGGTCCTGGTCCTGGCCTTGGTCCTGGTCCTGGCCTTGGTCCTGGTCCTGGCCTTGGTCCTGGTCCTGGCCTTGGTCCTGGTCCTGGCCTTGGTCCTGGTCCTGGCCTTGGTCCTGGTCCTGGCCTTGGTCCTGGTCCTGGCCTTGGTCCTGGTCCTGGCCTTGGTCCTGGTCCTGGCCTTGGTCCTGGTCCTGGCCTTGGTCCTGGTCCTGGCCTTGGTCCTGGTCCTGGCCTTGGTCCTGGTCCTGGCCTTGGTCCTGGTCCTGGCCTTGGTCCTGGTCCTGGCCTTGGTCCTGGTCCTGGCCTTGGTCCTGGTCCTGGCCTTGGTCCTGGTCCTGGCCTTGGTCCTGGTCCTGGCCTTGGTCCTGGTCCTGGCCTTGGTCCTGGTCCTGGCCTTGGTCCTGGTCCTGGCCTTGGTCCTGGTCCTGGCCTTGGTCCTGGTCCTGGCCTTGGTCCTGGTCCTGGCCTTGGTCCTGGTCCTGGCCTTGGTCCTGGTCCTGGCCTTGGTCCTGGTCCTGGCCTTGGTCCTGGTCCTGGCCTTGGTCCTGGTCCTGGCCTTGGTCCTGGTCCTGGCCTTGGTCCTGGTCCTGGCCTTGGTCCTGGTCCTGGCCTTGGTCCTGGTCCTGGCCTTGGTCCTGGTCCTGGCCTTGGTCCTGGTCCTGGCCTTGGTCCTGGTCCTGGCCTTGGTCCTGGTCCTGGCCTTGGTCCTGGTCCTGGTCTTGGTACTGGGGTCATACAGTTTTTATTTACACCACCGTAGATATTTTGTCGTAACGTCGCTCAGCGAGATATGAACAAAGCTCTCGAACAAACCTAAGAATATTTTGCTACTTACGGAGAGTGTTTGAAACTCCAAACTTTCTCACTTGTATAACTGTCTTTGGAAAGAAAAGAAGAAGAAAAATATCAGGATCAATGAATAAAATGCGTTTCCATCGATCCGTATGTGCACTCATCTCTGAGATACTTTATCTATCAATCCTCTGATCACTGACATGCAGTAGAGGCTTTTGTGTGCTTTTTCCCATCTTTACTAACCCTCAAAGTCCTGTGTAGAGTATCCATGTTTTCTACCCCTCCCCCCCCCATTTCTCCCCACGAACCTTTATGCTCTGGCTTGTCCTGTCACTGATATGCACCTTACTGACTTCAAATGTTAAATTTTTCATCCTGCGATGGGAGAATTGAAAGTACCTCCCTGTCTGTGAATGAACAAAAGGCTTCATTTATGAACATTTGAATCTTAGATAACGATCTGATCTGTACGCCGGGATTCTATTCATGGTTATTCTGGCACATGGCCGTGGTTCAGACAATGAGTTTAATGTTGTTTTCTTTCTTGAATGGGATTGGTCAAATAAGCATCAACACATCATCGTTGACCTTCCTCACCGAATGACATTTTTAGATCGGATCTTAGTGTCTGGAACCAAAAGTTATGCCTGGAAATCTGAATGTAGCCAGAACCACAGCTCTGTTGTCCCAGTGCGCTCTGTGACCGGGACAAACCGGTGCCAAGCCCTGAATGTGCAGAGAAACGATGCTCTCAAACATCAACATCATAGTGCTCTGGAAAAAAGAACAATTATTTAATGTCAAAATTATTTTTTTTGTCCAAAAAAGAACAATAAAACTGGATGGAAGTCCGTCCTCCTCGGCTCCGTACCTCAAACCTGATTAGACCACGAGTCCTACCGTTTCCAGTGTTGAATATGGTGGACTTTCACCACTATTTTAGCAACTTCTTTGCACTATACCTTCTGCTTATGCTGTGCATGGC